GGTTGGAGGTGCACGCTATTCCCAGCAAGAGCTCGAAGCATGTGGCAAAGGCCTTCAAGGAGCAAGTGCTATGCCGCTTTGGAGCACCAGGGGAGGTCTTGACAGACCAAGGGAGTGAATTCAGAGGGGAGTTCCAGGCATTGTTAGACCAGGCACGCGTCACGCACCGGAGGACTTCTCGGTATCATCCTCAAAGTGATGGACTCACAGAGCGGCTGGTGCAGACCTTGAAGCGGAATCTGCGGGCATACGGGGAGAAGCGGAAGAGAGACTGGGATGAGGAACTGCATTGGATTGCAGCAGGATACAGGTTCGGGAGGCAGGCATCGCTGAGGGATCACTCGCCGTATAGCCTGCTGTTTGGGCGAGAGCCAGTGCTGCCAGTGGGGGCACCGCGGGTGTTAACCGACCCGGTGAGCGTGCAGGGAACAGAGAAGTGGGTAGCACTGGCAGAAGCAAGAGCACGCTACATGAAAGAGATGCTACCAACCGCACTCGAGAACCTGCACACAGCACAGTTGCGGGATGCACTGAGGTACCAGCAGCGGCAGCAGAAGGGAGGAGGAAAGGGGAAGGAAGCAGTGGCGGAGGGACAAGAGGTTTATTTGAAGCGGGCCAAGCAGGATACCCTGGACGTGGGACTAGGAACCGTAAGGTGGAAGGTGAAAGCAGTACGCGACTCAAGGGTGCTGGTACTAGAGAACGAGAAGGGGGAACAGACAGTGGACCACCAGACCAATGCAGCGGTGGTGAGGAGCAGCCGGCCTCAGCTGGATGGTCCTGTGACTCGGGCCCGTGCAGCACGAGCACGAGTACAGGAGGGGGCAGGGAGTGGCTGAGAGAGGCACAAGAGAGAAGACGGGCAAGGAACAGAAGAGGGGAAGGTAATGGGGCAACAGTTGGAGCAGGGAGACAAGTAAGGGAGGGGATTCACGACAGGTCGAATGCCGGAAAGTACTTCGTGGGACTAGAAAGTAGAAGCAAGAAAGGTAGAGTGTCACGTGGCACTAGGAAATCTGAAAAGATAAGGATAAGGATGGGGTTGGGAGTACTGTTCAAAGGGAACAGTAAACACCCCTCTAACACTACCCCCCTCCCAAGGAGACGTCCGCGGCGCCTGCAGACTGAAGGTACGCTTGGAGGCAAGCGTTGTCGGGAGATAGCGAGGACGAAGGAACCCAGCTGTCATCTGCTGCGTCGTAACCACGCCAACGAACCAAGAAGTCGAGGAAAGAGACACCCCCCTGGAGACGGCGACGGTGCCTGAGGATGCGCTGAATCTGGTAGTCGGGCTCGTCGGTGTCAACAGCTACCGGCAGTGGAGTGCGGTCACGACCCGAGAAGGTGGCGTTGGGATCAGTGTAAGGACGAAGAAGCGACACGTGGAATGACGGGTGCATGCGGAAATGAGCAGGAAGGCGGAGGCGGTATGCGACGGGACCAAGTGCGCGCTCAATGACAAATGGACCAATGAAACGTGGACGAAGCTTGCAGTCCTGTGGCAGTCGGAGGTTGCGGCTATCCAAAAGAACGCGGTCGTCGACTGCAAACGACACCTCACGACGACTGCGGTTGGTGGTGCGTGCCATGCGTGCATTTGCGAGCTCAAGGTGCTTCCTCACGTGATCATGGATGAATGTGAGATGCTGGTGGAAGTTGTCCACACCAGGGACTGTGGGTTTGAGATCGACACGAGTGGGAACGTTGGGGTGCTGACCGTACGGTGCAAAGAACAGTGGCATGCCTGTGGACGAGTGGTGCGTGTTGTTGTAAGCGAACTCGGCAATGCTCAGCTTCTTGTCCCATGCGGCTGCGTCGTGCATCGTGATGTTGCGAAGAATCTGCTCCAAAGTCTGGTTCATACGCTCAGTCTGTCCATCTGTCTCTAGATGGTACGCAGACGACATGGCTAAGCGAGTCCCAAACAGTGCGAAAAGCTGCTTCCAAAACTTCGAAGTGAAACGCGGGTTGCGGTCTAAGATGATGGAATCTGGAACCCCATGCAGTCGGACTACGTTATCTATGAACAGTGTCGCGGCTTCCTCTGCTGTGACCTTGCCGTGCGTGGGGATGAATTGCGCTGCTCGAGAAAACTTATCCACGACCACGAAGATGGTGTCGTAACCCCTAACTGTGCGCGGTAATGCCATGATGAAATCCATTGTGACTACCTGCCAAGGGCGGTCGGGCGGTGGAATCGGCTGCAAGAGTCCTGCTTTGCGCTTGCGAGAGGACTTAGTACGCTGACACGTGTCGCACGAGCGAATGTAATCCTCTACGTCTGCTGCAAGCCCGGGCCAGTAGTACGTGCGACTAAGCGTCTTAGCCGTCTTATCTACTCCAAAGTGACCTGCACTAACTACGTCGTGCGCCTCTGAGAGAAGGAGCTGTCGAAGAGAGCGGTAGGCTGGAACCCAAATCCGTGTGGTACCCTTCCATATGTAGACACTACCCTGCACCTTTGCTCCTGCGGGCGGCTGCGGTGTGAAGTCGGGATCTACTGTGTAGCCGTGCTCGAAGAGTGCTGCGAGAAGTGGGTGGCCGGCAGTGACTGTGAGACTAGCGAGCTGGCAACTAGGGCGAGTGAGCGGATCTGCTGGGTTGCGCACGCCTGGCTTGTACTCTATCTTGTAGTGAAAGCTCCCCTCCATGACCTCCATCCACCTAGCCTGGCGACGACTCAGCTGCGGGTGCGACTTGAGGAAACGAAGCGAACAGTGGTCCGTGCGTATAACACTATCTGCCCCCTCTAGGTAGCACCTCCAAACCTTATACACATGGATGATCGCGAGCGCCTCCTTATCGTGAATGGGATAGTTCAACTCCGCTCCCCTAAGCTTATGCGACTCGTACGCGATCGGCTGCAACCCGCGTCCCTGGTCATGAAGAAGCACTGCTCCCATGGCCCGATCTGATGCGTCGGTCACTACAACGTACGGGCGACTGGGATCTGGGTACGACAGTGTCGGTGAAGACGTGAACGACTGCTTTATCTGCTCAAACGCCTGTTGCTGCGTTGGACCCCAATCAAAATCTACGCCCTTCCGAAGTAGGTCGGTGAGTGGACTAGCGATCGATGCGTAACCCTGAACGAAACGGCGGTAATAAATTGCAAATCCGAGGAAGCTCTGCAACTCCTTGACTGAGGTCGGTGCTAACCAATCCTGTACGGCTGCGATCTTTCTCGGGTCGGTCCTAATGCCACTAGCGGATACGACGTGTCCTAGGAACTCGACCTCAGGGAGAAAGAACTGGCATTTCGACTGCTTCGCGTACAACTGCTCCCTCCTCAGGACCTCAAAGACCTTCTGCAAGTGTTGCATGTGCTCCTCCTTCGTCTTAGAGAACACTAGGATGTCGTCTAGGTAAACTACAACGAACGAATCTAGGAACTCGGAGAGGACGGTGTTCATGAGCGTCTAAAACGTCGCTGGGGCGTTGGTCAAACCGAATGGTAGAACCCTAAACTCATACAACCCCTGCTTCGTACAAAACGCCGTCTTGTGCTGGTCCTCTGGAACTACACAAATCTGGTGGTAACCCGAACGAAGGTCGATCTTTGAGAAGACTCTAGCGCCCTGCACTGCATCTAGGAGATCCTCTACTCTCGGCACCGGAAACCTATTCTTGACGGTGGTGGCGTTCAGTGCGCGGTAATCTATGCACATCCGTAACCCTCCGTCTTTCTTGGGTGCGAAAAGGATTGGTGCTGCCCAAGGCGATCTGGATGGCTGAATGAAACCCTGCACGAGAAGGTGCCTAGCCTGCTGCGTCATCTCCTCTGTCTCTGCAGGACTCAACCTCCACTGTGGCTTCGCTACTGGCCTGCTTCCCGGCTCCAGCTCTATTCGATGATCTACAGCTCGGCTAGGAGGCAACCCTGGGGGCAACTCGTTGGGGAAGACGTCTCTAAACTCTGCTAATAGTGCACTCACTTCAGCAGTGTCGTGAATCCCCTCCCTTACTTGTCTCCCTGCTCCAACTTTTGCCCCATTACCTTCCCCTCTTCTGTTCCTTGCCCGTCTTCTCTCTTGTGCCTCTCTCAGCCACAGAGGAATCCGTCCCCCACACTTGGCTACTCCGAGTGGCCTCGTCACCTGGCTTAGAAAGCTTAGATTAGCAACTTAATCCACTATAGAGAGTAAACAAACGAGAGAACTAATCGAGTGATGTTTCTCTAGGCTATAAATCTACCCTCGGCCAAGTCGCCAATGTCTCAGAGTTCTGGTTGAGTTCGGGCCGCTCCAGCTTGGTATTGGCCAGAGTGATTTCCCAGTTGCTCGAGGCTCTTGGGTTCACTTCTTGCGCGCCTCGCTGGTCCCCAGGCCACCAACTTCGCGTCACTCTCCCTGCTGCCCACCAACCTGCTTACAAGTCAAATAACATTCTACACCCCGCTCCATATGCTACAGCACATCACATTGCACCGTATTAGCGTTAACAGGATGAATTGCAACTTCCCTCAGTGAATTCTGTGACAGACCTTGCATGCTATATCATCCTTGCTTGTATCCACCAATATCAACCTATTCTCATTCATCAATTACGGTACTCAGTTACTTCTTCGCCTATTTCGCCAACACATCTTTCGCCAAAGTCTTCCGCCACGCTTTATCCTCAATTTAGTCAACCTCGCTATTCCTTAGCGGATTTAGGCCAAGGGGCCTAACACAACCCTAACCACCCCTCCACTACCTCGACTCCCCCCACGCACCCACGCACGCAACCACACCACCCTCGATTCCCCAAACACGCGCATCCTATTTAACTCCAAGTTTTATCACAACAGCCATCACGGCCCATTGTGGCTGTAACCAGTGTTTGTGCTGCAATCGCCACTGCTTCCACTGCTGTTGTGATTACCGCTGCCATCATTTGTCACTCCCACCATTGTCCCCATCGCTGCCACTGCTGTTATCACCGCCACTGTTGCTCCCACCAGTGCTCCCATCACTTTCCCCCTTCTTCTCCCCCAAATCCACCTTAAAGATATAGGTGCCCTAGTCGCTATAGTCCGTCCGCTCCACGCCGCCCACATACTCCACCGCCGCCCACACGTTGCCGTCCTCATCTATTGTGGCCGACATGAAGTCCCCATACAGCAGCACAGGGATGTTGAAGCGGTACGCTGCAGGTACGTGGTGGGAAGGGGGGGTTGGGGAGAGTCAGGTAAAAGCATCAAGCCTCCATACAGCAGCACAGGGATGTTGAAGCGGTACGCTGCACATAGGGAGTGGTGGGTGTTGGGTGGGTGGGAGGAAAGGTAGGGGTGGATACGTGCGAATGGAGGGGAGAAAAGAGGGGAGGGGGGAGGGACGGGGGACGGGGGAGGGAGATGGTGGGTAAAGGGTGGGATGGGTAGTGGTGGGAAGTTCCAGGACTCAGGTTAAAGGTACAAGCAGGAAGTCCAGAAATAGCAGTGCATGAGGGATGGGACACACAACTGTCATGCCATACCATACATGCAAAGGCCCAAGGCCTATGCACCCATGCACGGACTTGCTTGTTGGCGGACATGAGCCAAGTGCGTGAATTACCCAACAGTCATACTCAGGTAATCGTCGAGAGGCGCTTTCCCCGGGCCCGCAACGACGATCATGCTCACGTGGTTGCGATACCATACATGCAACGGCCCAAACCCTAATCACCCAACGGGGGTTAGTTAGCTAGTCTTACTCAGGTAATCATCGAGAGGCGTTTTCCCTGGGTCGGCGACAACGATCCTGCCCCTGTGGGTGCCATACCATACATGCTAAGCCCAAACCCTGATCACCCAACGAGCCACCCGGGGTTAGTTCGCTAGACTTACTGAGGTAGTCGTCGAGAGGCGCTTTCCCCGGGCCCGCGACGACGATCCTGCCCACATCAGTGTTGCCGTTGATACGTGCGTAGGCAGCCGAGGGGTAGAAGTTCGGGCCTGCCAGCGATGCTGCTAGGATGCCCTCGCCCCAGCTGGGAGCAAGAGAGGAGGGAGTGGGGGGGAGACGAGAGTTGGGGGGATGAGAGGAAGGGTGGGAATGAGAGGCAGCCGAGGGGTAGAAGTTGGGGCCTGCCAGCGATGCTGCCAGGATGCCCTCGCCCCGGCTGGGAGCGAGAGAGGAGAGGAAAGGGGTAGATGAGAGGTGGGGGGAAATGAGTGGTGGGGGGGATTGAGAGGTGGGGCGGAATGAGAGGTGGATGGTGCGACCATGGCTACACATGTGAGGATAGGGAAGTGAGTGAGTGCAAAAAGAGGTAAAGTACGAAGGTGCAGGGTGCGAGGTTTCAAGGTAAGACAGTGCAAGGGTGCCATGCCATCCCCTGTACCATATCTCCTTGTCCTCATCCCCCTCATCCCCCTCCCTCATCCCCCTCCCTCATCGACCTCCCTCGTCCCTCTCCCTCTCTACCCTCTCCCCACCCACCTATTGAGCGCCATGGTGGGCTGAATCAGATTGTTCCTCTCCACGCCCACCGCTTTGAACCGCTCCAGAAACACGCAGAACGTGTGCGCCGTGCGCTGGGGCCGCAGCGACAGCTGCAGGCGAACCACCACAGCCGTGGCACTTGTTAGAATATCTCTCCTCTTGTAACCTGCATACATGTTATGAATAGGCTAGAGATAAGCACCTAAACATAGTTTGGGTGTACAAATAGGGGTAACCCAGTTTGTAGGTTGGAACCCAGCCTTGGTCCAATTATTGGACCCCAAAAAGTTGGGTTGAGTAGAATTATTGGCTCTCTCCAATAATGTTGGCCCAACCCCAACTTGGCCAACATTATTGGACCCCACCAATAATCACCCAACCCAACTTATTGGTTGGGGTCCAATAAAGGCAACCTAGACTAGTATCCAACCCCCAACTATGTATACCCCTACCATTTTCAATGCAATCATAAACTTCTATCCTAACTTTCATTTCCCACATGGTATAGAGCTCACTATCCTAGGCCTACTCTCGTTCCAAAGGCCCACCCGGCCGCCGCAACCCCCGGCCTTCATATTTTTTCCGGCTCCTCCGCCGTCTTCCCCCTTCCCCCCTTAGCGCTCTCCTCTCTCCGCGACCTCATCGCCGCCTCCGCGCCCGCCGTCGCCGCGGCCTCACCAGCCGCCGCCGCCCGCGCCGCTCCCCCCCCCCCTCACGGCCTCGTCGCCACCTCCGCGCCCGCGTCGTCACGGGCCCGCCAGCCGCCGCTGCCTGTGGTGCTCCCCTCTGCGGCCTCCTCGTCGCCTCTGCGCCCGCGTCGTCGCGGCCTCGCCAGCCGCCGCCGCCTGCGCCGCTCCCCTCCGCGGCCTCCTCGCCGCCTCCGCGCCCGCGTCGTCGCGGCCTCGCCAGCCACCGCCGCCCGCGCCGCTCCCCTCCGCCGCCCGCGCCGCTCCCCTCCGCGGCCTCGTCGCCGCCTCCATGCCCGCGTCGTCGCGGCCTCGCCAGCCGCCGCTGCCCGCGCTGCTCCCCTCCGCGGCCTCGACGCCGCCTCCGTGCCCGCGTCGCCGCGGCCTCGCCAGCCGCCGCCGCCGCCCGCGCCGCTCACCTCCGCGGCCTCGTCGCCGCCTCCGCGCCCGCGTCGTCACAGCCTCGCCAGCCGCCGCCGCCCGCGCCGCTCCCCTCCGCGGCCTCGTCGCCGCCTCCGCGCCCGCGTCGTTGCGGCCTCGCCAGCCACCGCCGCCCGCGCTGCTCCCCTCCGCGGCCTCGACGCCGCCTCCGCGTCCGCGTCGCCGCGGCCTCGCCAGCCGCCGCCGCCGCCGCCCGTGCCGCTCCTCTTAGTGGCCTCGTCGCCGCCTCCGCACTCGCGTCGTCGCGACCTCCTCGCTAGCCGCCGCCGCCCGCGCCACTCCCCCCCGCGGCCTCGTCGCCGCCTCCGCGCCTGCGTCCGCCGCGGCCTCGCCAGCCGCTGCCACCTCGCGCCGCCCCGCGACCTCATCGCCGCCTCCCCTAGACGCCGCGGCCTCGCCAGCCGCCGCCACCCGCGCCACTCCCCTCTGCGGCCTCATCGCCGCCTCTGCGCCTGCGTCCGCCGCGGCCTCGCCAGCCGCTGCCACCTCGCGCCGCCCCGCGACCTCGTCGCCGCCTCCCCGCCGACCACCGCTGGCGCCATTCCTCCACCGCTTCCGCACCCACGCAGCCCCACCAGCTGCTGCCACCTGCGCGCTTCCGTGACCACTGCGGGTCCACCCGCGGCCGTCCCTCATGGCTACCCCCATGCCCTCCCCCTCCCCCCTCCCTCCTCCTATCGATATTTCCTCCATTGATAAACTCCAGCTTGCATCCTACAAATCTGCCATTAACTGGCACTCGTTCGTCGGCAGCATCCGCCGAGTCCTCAACGATGCGTGGATCCCCCCCTACCGCGTCCTTGACGTCATCCTCCGCCGCCCCCATGCCCTCCTCCCCACCGAACCTGACCACCCCGGCGAGACCCCTCCTCTCCCTCCTCCTCCTGGCGACCCCCCCCCTTGAGACCGAGCTCCAAACCGCCGCCGACTAGGCCACCGCAGATGCTGATTTCATTATGCGTCGCCGTGCTTACCTGATCCGCAAAGCCGAGTACGATGCAGCAGCTGATGCCTACGCCCAGGCGGTCGCTGGCCGCATTGCTCACCTCGCCGTCGTCGAGGCAGCGGCCAGGGAAGCAGCACCGCAAGCAGCCGTGGTGGCTCCACTGGGGATGAGCACGGCACCCCCAGTCAGAGCGGTCCCTCAGGGAACCGCGCACCCCGCCCTGGCACTCTCCCTCCCTGCACCTATGTCCGTCGCTACGGTCCCCCGGCAGGGACACCCTGTGGTCAAACCAACCATCCCCCTAACACCTGCTTCAAGGCTCTTGATGATGCCTGGTACGCACGGGGCAATGTCGGCACACCTCCCCGCTGGGGTACCGTCTCCCCACGTCCCTCCCCTGCTGACATCCAAACCAACCCTGCCTACCTCCCCGCCCACCTCCGCCTCCTTGCTCCCCCCACGCCGTTCCTCAACCTGCAGCAGCAGCATCTTCTGCAGCAACAGCAGCAGCAGCAGCTGTTCCAGCAGCACCTGCCGCAGCAGCAGCAGCAGCCGCAGCAGCAGCCTCCTTGGGGACCCGGGCTCCCACCCCAGTGGGGACCCAGCACTCCCCCCTGGCAGCAGTAGCAGCTGAACTTTGGCACGGCAGCCACAGCTGCTCACACCTCCCCTGCTCCCCTGTGTGGTACCCCACCTCCTCCTGGTCGTGGTGTCACTCCCCTCACCCAGGAAAGTTTTCTTGGCAACATTGCTCTTTCCCCCTCTCTTTCTTCTATGTACCCCTCCGCCATTATTGAAACCACTTTCCAGTACTCGGTGTCTTCCTCCTCCTCCCCACCCACTCTGGACTTCGTCCTTGATAGTGGGGCCACTGAGACTACTCTCAAGGATGCTGGTACACTCACACCCCTCTCTCCTCCCACTCAGGTTCACGGTGCTGACAACAGTTTTACCATCCCATGCACACATCTCTCCACCCTCCCATGCACAATCTTCCCCTCCGGTAAGGTAACTGGTCTCCACATCCCCACCCTTCGAAACAACCTCCTCTCCCACCAAGAAATCCAAAATGCAGGTATCACTGCCGTCTATCCAGGTAATGCCACCTACTGTGACCTTTATCACACCGCCACCGGTCGTTTCCTCCTACGCATTCCCCTCTGTCCCCGCACTCGCCTCTACACTCTCCGCACCCCTTGGCCATCATTCTGCCATGTCACCACTCGTGCTGGCACCTCCACTAACCCTCCCCATCCCCCTACCTCACCTTCTCCCCAGCGGCAGCCACTGCATCAACAGCAGCCCCAGCAGGGGTGGCATCCGCAGCAGCAGCAGCAGCAGCCGCCATAGCAGGGGCAGCCGCAGGGGCCGCAGCAGCAGCAGCCGCCGCCGCAGGAGCAACAACAGGGGCCGCGCCAGCAGCAGCAACAACCGCCGCAGCAGGGGCAGCCGCAGCCGCAGCAGCAGCAGCAGTCACCTCCCCCTCTCCCACCTTCACTCACTCCAACCCCCTCCACCTCCGATCATCTCTCCCACCCTGCTTTTCTGCTACACCACCGCCTCGGCCACCCCAATTTCGCCGCTCTCCGCACTGCCATCACCTCCCGCCTCCTTCACAGCCTCCCTCCCACTCTCCCTCCCCTCCCTTCCTCTCCTGCCCCTCCATGCCCCTCCTGCATCCACGGCAAACTCAAACAGTCTCCCCACCACAGCCACCCGTCCTTTGCTCCCGCTCCAATTGACCTGGTCCACATGGACCTCTGGGGACCCTCCCCCACTCGCTCCCGTCAGGGCCATCGCTACATGCTGGTCCTCGTAGACGACCACAGCCGCTACTCCTCCATTTTCCTCCTCCACACGAAAGACCAGGCACCGACTGTGATCACCTACTGGACAGAGCAATGCCGCGCCCACTTCAACCGTCCCATCGGCCGCCTCCACTCTGACGGTGGCGGCAAATTCCTCAACCGCACCCTCTCCCACTACTGCGCCACCCATGGCATCCAACAGACCCACACTCTTCCCCACTCCCCGCAGCAGAATGGTGTCGCAGAAAGCCGCATCCGCGAAATCACCAAAATCGCTTGTAGCCTCCTCGCTCATGCCTCCACTCCTCCTTCCCTCTGGGGCTATGCTCTTCTCCATGCTGCCCTCCTCCTCAACCTCCACTCCCATCCTCAACACACTGCCATCGCCCCCACGGAACTCTGGCCAGGCACGAAACTTGACGCTGCCGGTCTCCATCACTGGGGGTGCAAGGCATACGTTCTTATCCCTCCTTCCGACCGCACCCAAGGCAAGCTCGCTTCTCGAGCCCTCGAGTGTGTCTATCTCGGACACAACCGCGACTCGCCTGGCTACCTCTTCCTCCACCCTCCCTCCGATCGCCTCATTCGTAGCATTGACGTCGTCTTTGACGAAACCACCCCATACTACTCCTCCCCACCACCAGACCCCCTCCCTTCCCCTACCCGTCCCCTCGCCTGGACCGACACTGTCCTCCCTCCCCTCCTCCCTCCCGCACCTCTACTACCACCTCTCCCTGCTCCACCTCCACCACCCTCCTCTGCTGACATCTACGATCCTACTGCACCTGCATCCCCTGCCCACTCCGCTGCCCCCCTCCCCTTCCCCTCCTCCCCTCCCTCCCCTTCATCCCAGCAGCAGCAACAGCAGCAGCAGCAGCAGCAGCAGCAAGGACAGCAGCCGCCGCAGCCACAGGGGCAGCAGCAGCAGTAGCAGCAGCAGCAGCAGGGGCAGCAGCAGGGGCACCAGCAGGGGCAGCAGCAGGGACACCAGCGGCAGGAGGAGCAGCAGCCGCAGCAGCACCAGCAGGGGCTTCAACAGCACCAGCAGCAGCGACGGCAGAGGGCGACTGCCCGCTCCTCACCCTTCCTCCTCCCTCGCATGCACATCCGCTCCCTTGATCCCATCCTTGGCACACCGCCTCCTCCCTCACTCAACCTGCTAGAGGACCTCCATGAGGAACTCACTATGGTCCAGCGCCACACTCCCTCTCTCACCCCCCTCTACCCTAGCTTCCTTGGCGCACTTATCCTTGCCGCGGCCTCCGCTCCCACCATCTTCGTCCCCTCCACCTTCCAGGAAGCTATCACCTGCCCAGATGCCGACAAATGGATAGCTGCCATCTTCCTGGAATGTGAGGCCTTCATCCACAACGACTCTTTCATCGACGTCCCCCTCCCTCCTGACGCCAACCTTGTCGAGGGCAAGTGGATCTTCCGAGTAAAGCAGCTGCCGGGAGAAGAACTAGTCTACAAGGCCCGCTATGCCGCCAAGGGCTTTACACAGACTTGGGCTGAGGACTACTGGTTCACATTCGCCCCTACCGTTAAGCCACCCACCCTTCGCGCTCTTCTAGACGTTGGTGGGCGTGACGACATGGAGATTGACTCCATGGACGTCTCCAACGCATTTTTGCAAGGCGAGCTGCACAGGCGTATTTTCCTACGCCGACCTCCCGGGTTTCACGCTGCTTTCCCCGACGATACCGTCTGGCAACTACAACGCCCAGTCTACGGTCTGAAGCAGGCACCGCGAGAATGGCATGCGAAGCTGTCTGCCACTCTCCAGTCCCTCGGTTTCTCTGCCTCCCATTCCGATGCCAGCCTCTTCATCCGCTCCTCCCCTCGTCGCTTCTTCATCTCGGTCTACGTTGACGACATGATCCTGCTTGCTGATTCCCGGACCGACATGGACCACGTGAAGCGGTCCCTTCAGGACCGTCTCAAGTGCAAGGACCTTGGTCCGCTGCAAAACTACCTCAGCATGACCATCACCCGCAACCGATCCGCCCGCACCATCACCCTCTCCCAGTCCCACTACATCGGCCAGGTACTAGAGAAGTTCGAGATGGCGCAGGCCAAACCAGTCTCTACCCCCCTCCCCTTCGGTCACCAACTAGCGCCTCCCACCTCCCCCTCCGCCTCCTCCCGCCCCTATGCTGAGCTCGTTGGGTCGCTGATGTATGCGATGATGTGCACTCGCCCCGACCTTGCCTACCCCATTAGCGTCCTCGCTCGGTTCGTCGGCTCCGGCCGTCACAATGAGGAACAATGGACTGCCGCCAAGTGGGTTCTCTGCTACCTTCGATGCACCAAGGATCACGCCCTCACATTGGGTGGTTCCTCCCCTCCCCTTCTCACTGGCTTCAGCGACTCCTCCTGGGCGGACTCCCAGCCGGACCGCCGCTCCTTGCAAGGTTATGGCTTCACGCTTGGCAGCGGACTCATCAACTGGCGTTCCATTCGCTCATCTGCCGTTGCCCTCTCCTCCTGCGAAGCCGAACTCTATGCTGGCACCATGGCTGCACAAGAGTCCCATTGGCTCTGCTTTCTTCTCGTCGAGCTTGGTGCCCCTCAGCGCTGTCCCACACTCTGGTGTCTCAGAATCCCAACCACTAGACCATTGGGATAAAAGGGCTTGTTTCAGTAGCGGGTCAGTGCGCCCATAACCCCCCAGGCAATCGTGCCTGTAACCCTTCCCTAGGATCGATCGGGGATCACCAGTGGACCTCTGACACCCCCCCGCACTGGGATGCCCGAAGTGCATACACCGGGATACGAACCCGAGACCTTCGCTCTGGATACCATCTCAGAATCCCAACCACTAGACCATTGGGATAAAAGGGCTTGTTTCAGTAGCGGGTCAGTGCGCCCATAACCCCCCAGGCAATCATGCCTGTAACCCTTCCCTAGGATCGATCGGGGATCACCAGTGGACCTCTGACATGGTGTGACAATGCCAGCACCATCCATCTCACCCAGGACCCCGTCTTTCACGGTCGCTCCAAGCACATCGAGCTCCGCTACTTCTTCATCCGTGACCTCGTTCAGCAAGGCCTCATTGCCGTTCGCAAGATCGCTGCTGAGGCCAACTTGGCTGATATCTTTACCAAAGCCCTTCTCTGCCCTGCGCACTCTGCTCTTCTCCGTCTCATCGGCCCCGCCCCTCCCGGCGCGCCTTGATTCAGGGGGTGCTACCCTCAAGCCTTTTTCACATCTTTGCAGGTTAAGGGGTTGTGTTAGAATATATTTCCTCCTGTAACCTGCATACATGTTATGAATAGGCTAGTGATAAGCACCCAAACATAGTTTGGGGGTACAAACAGGGGTAACCCATTTTGTAGGTTGGAACCCAACCTTGGTCCAATTATTGGACCCCAAAAGGTTGGGTTGAGTAGAATTGTTGGCTCTCTCTAATAATGTTGGCCCAACCCCAACTTGGCCAACATTATTGGACCCCACCAATAATCACCCAACCCAACTTATTGGTTGGGGTCCAATAATGGCAACCTAGACTAGTATCCAACCCCCAACTAGGTATACCCCTACCATTTTCAATGCAATCATAAACTTCTATCCTCACTTTCATTTCCCACAGCACTGAGCTCCTTCCTAGCTGCAAACATAAACGACACCCACATCTGCCTCCTTGCAGGGTCCACCACAACTGCACTCGCATCCACTCCCACCGTCCCGATCGGTGCAATGCCGTGTCCCATCTTCCAGGCTACCGGCATGGGTCCTTCCTTTGGGTGACTGCGTGCGGGAGGACGTGCGGCGGGGTGTACACCGCGGCGCAGTGCGGTTCCACGCGGTTTTCTGCATCTGGTGTGCCGAGGGCGATCGTGTCGGTGACAGCAAAGGTGCCCATAGCAGTGACGTTGGGAAACAGTAGGGTCTCGTTGGGTGCGGGGGGGTTGATGCTGCCGGTGTAGGCGAAATACATGGTGCCGCCGTGGGAGTGGTCATATGAGCCATCTGCTGCGACCTTCTGAGGGAGAATGGTCCAGGAGGGGTTGGTGGGAGTGGGGGAGGCCGGCACGACGACGCGCAGAATGGTGGCGTTCTCTGCCTGAGTCAGCTGGGCCTTGGATATGGCACTGGCAGTGGGGGCGATGGATGAAAGGGGGAGGGGCGAGGGGACAAGGAGGCGAGGGGGCAAGGGGGCGAGGGGGCGAGGGGTCGAGGGGGGGGTAAAGGGGTTTGGGAGGAAGGGTGGTTGGGAGGGGAAGAGGCAGGGGGGGCGCAGTGAGTACAAGTTTCAGAGACATGCATGCGAACATGTATGGCATGGAACACTAGATGCTGCTAACATGCAAGCAGATGGGGGCGGAATCAGAGAAAAGCCTAATGAGCAAGAGCACAAGAGCAAGAATAAGAGAAATAGACGGGAGGCGTGAGTGCTCGTTTCTCCAGGTGACTCACAAAATGTTGGGCCCCAAAAGGCTGGAAAAATCCTCTAGAAATTGGTTGGCCGCCACGTACACTCCTGGTAGTGGGCGAGAGGAGTGGCAGGGAGGGGACGGACGTGGGAGGTAAGGGAATGGACGGGAGGGGACCTAAGTTGGATCTTACGTTTACGGTCTGTTACGTTTTCGTTTATTTACAACGTTTTTTACGTTTACGAACGGTTGCCTGGATTCGGCCTTACGTTTACCGTCACCTGAAAACTTTTTTAGGTCTGCCTGAGGAAAAACATTACCAGAGTACTAGGGAGACTCATTCTGTAGGCATCATGTCAATGTTGAAGAAACAATAATACCCTAAACATAAAATCCTCCTCCTCCTCCTCCTCCTCCTCCTCCTCCTCCTCCTCCTCCTCCTCCTCCTCCTCCTCCTCCTCCTCCTCCTCCTCCTCCTCCTCCTCCTCCTCCTCTCCTCCTCCTCCCCTTCCCCCTCCCCTTCCTCCTCCTCCCCCTCCCCTCCCCCCAGCTCCCCCTCCCTAACACAACACGGTCATCTCCCTCCCACCTAATTCCTTAATTTGCTATCTTGTTCGACGTCAACCTACCAGCTCGTTCATATCCTATCGTATTCCTTTCCTACTAGTCAACGCTGAATCTGAAACTTTCACGGACTCGAAAGACTTCCGCGAAAGTTAACGTTCGTAAACGAAAACGTAAAATTTCGCGAAATTGACGTTTACGAGACCTCGAAAAACGTAAGTGCCCAACTTAGGAGGGGACGAAAGAGTGAGGGTAAGGAAAGGTAATTGAGTGGACAGGGGAAGATGGAAGTGGATGGAATGGGACGGAAGGGGGCGGAAGGGGACAAGAGGGTACGGGAGGGAGCGGGAAGAGATAAAAGGGGTTTCTACAAATGGTAATGGAGGAGTCAAGAGGAAAGGAAGGGGAAGCGAGAGGAAGAGAGGGGAAAGGATACCAAGGGAATGGGCGGGAGGAGCATTTACAAATTGGAAGGCAGGAGGCAGGACGGGAAGGGAGCGAAGGGGAGGGGACGGGAGGGGACAGAAGGGGATGGGAGGGGATGGGAAAGGATGATTGGCATGTGTGCTGATTAGCACTGCTTAAGGCAGGCCAAGGCACTCACCATAGGCATCGGTGCCGATCTGAGGGTTGACAACTGCCAGGCAACAACGGGATGGATGGGGAAGGGAATGGAACAGAAAAATGACTCGCCTGGATGGTGGTAGAGCGCACTGGCATCCAAAATGCATTGTCAATCAGCGTAGCTACTTCGCCACTGATACAACATCATCCAGCACGCGCATTGTCAATGAACGTACATTGCCATTAGACGTGCATTGTCTCTCAGCGTTGTTGAAACAGATACCATCGCCCCACGTACAGCGAGTGGTGAGTCGTGACGTGGCGAAGTGAAGGGGCGCCATTCAATCAGCATTGGAGTTGATGCCATCGTTGCTGGAAGCGAGGGGCGTGCTGAGAGAGACAACAGTGCGTGGGGAAGGTTCTGGGTATGTAAATTGGAGAGAGAGCGAGAAGGTTGGGGTAAAATACAGTAGAAGTGGGTTAGGCTGGGGGGGAAAACAAAAGGAATTGAGGAAGGTGGGCAACATATACAAATGGAGAGTGGGGAAGGTTGGGAGAAAGAAAGAGAGCGAGCAAGAGGGAGACAGAGGGAGAGAGAGGGTCTTGGGAAGTCTTACGAGCCAGGGATGAAGAAGGTGTTCCAGGGCTTAGTAGGGTCGTCAGTGGTTGATGCGGCCACTATGAGCCCCGCTCCCACCGTGATGTTTCCCCTGCTCCTCGTCTGCCCGAACTTGTCAAACGTATTGTTGGACTGCCCCGACTGGCGACCATGGGGGAGGGAGTGAGGGCAGGAGGAGAGGGAGGATTAAAAAAACATTGAGTTGACTCAAAAATCATCTCTTCGCAAGCAGGAAGAGGGGGGATAGAATTTGAGCCTGACACCACACACGCGCACTCGTGTCACTCAACAAGTAGCAGAGGAGAGGTTGGCATAGTAGGACGACGTAGCAGCGGGCGTCAGGCGGCGGGCAGCAAACGAGGCTGAAGGCGGAGAGGTAGAAGCGGCGGGCTTCATAGCCCGACAGAGGCGGAGAGGCGTAAAGAGGCGGAGAGGTAGTGAGGTGGAGAGGCGTAGAGGCGGAGAGGCGTAGAGGCGGGGAGGAGGAGAGTAGAGAGGTAGTCAGAGCTCATATAGCAACAGCGGGCGGCGGGCGGCACTCACGAGCCAGAAGGCCGAAAGATAGAAGCGTCGCGCCTTGCGATCATAAGTGCAGGTGAGGCCACCGATGTTGTCGCCCATGACTGATGCCTCAATAGGGTCTTTCTGGTCCACGTAGTCTGGGAGCGTGCCGAAGAACCGCGGACAATCATAGCGAAGGGGGAAAGAGAGGGAAGGTGCAGGTTAGCCCACTGATGTTGTCCCCCATGACATCATTGATGCCTCCAGGGGGGCCCTCCTCTCCACTTAGTTTGAGAGCGCACCAAAGAACTGCCCATCGCGGAGAGAGGGGAAGAAATAAGGGCACGGCGGGGAGACGCGAGAGAGGGGAAGAGACGGAGAGTGGGGAGACGAGGGGGAGAGAGGGGGAGATAGGGGGCCCGGGTGGGAGAGATAAGGAGAGAGAGGAGGAGCGGACAATAGAGGGGGAGAGAAGGGCAGAGAGGAAGAGAGGGTTTAGGGAGAAAATGAGGCAGAGAGACGGGAAGAGAGAGGGGGGAGAGGGAAAGAGGGGAGCAATAGAGCAAGAGAGCACGCATGCTCATGCTGATGCGCAATAGTGAGCACGTGAGAGCGGCGGGCGCTCATGCCTGCCTGCCTGCCTGCCTGCCCCCGAGTGTGTACCTCGTTCTGCGGGATGATGCGTGTGAGCTGCTTCCCCTTTGTGTCATACACCACCAACGCTGCGATGGGGGGAGAGGAGAGAGTGAAAGGAGAGGCACGGAGGGGAAGGAGACACAAGGAGGGAGAGGAGAGGGTGGTAAATGAGGGAGAAGAGTGGAGAGGAGAGAAAGGTTGGCACGCGTGAGGTGAGCTGCTTCCCCTGCGTGTCGCACACCAGCAACACTGCCATGGGTGGAGGGGAGAGGGAGAAAAGAGGCACGGTGGGAAAGGAGAGGGAGGAAAATGAGGGGAGAGAGTGGAGGAAAAGGCTGATGCATACAGGAGTGCAGAGGAGGAAGTGTAAAGAAGAACGCGCAGGGTTGACGATACTAGTGCAGCGTTTGAGAGCAAAGAGGAGGTGAATGAAGGCAGGAGGGATCATCTCATCTCACCGCAGTTTACAGCATGAACGATGAAGCCGTTCCCCACACACAGGGTCACGTCTGGAGGAGTCACGTGCACCTGACGCAGCAGGAAAAGCATCCAGTGAAATACACACACCTCGTTAAAACAAGTAATCCAGAAACTCTAGACACGATAAAAAAGCTGCACGTGAGGCTGGCAAGAGGCATTCTTACCACTGTGTTGTTGTACTTAGGCACTGTCCCGCTGTTCACTCCCGTGTACTCGCTTATTCTCGGAAACCCCACCGGTGCTCCGCGCTCCACCACGGGTTTCATCTCCGTCGTGCGCGCCAGGAACATCCCAACCTCCGCCGCGCGCGCATTTTGTCAAGCGGGGAACGGGCGGATGGGGGAAGGGAGGAAGTTACTACAGAAGCTTGAAAACCACCGCTGCCGCAATTCCAGAAGCATTACAGGCGGGAATGTTTGAACGGTCCAGGCATACCATCCGGCGCATTAACGGTGCTTTGATAATTACTTCAACCCGAACCACGCAATGCTGGCAGCAGGTGGGATTGACTAGAACCGAGCGTCGTACCATCTGCTCCTGGAGCGGATTTGGCGGCATCGGCGCGCCTGCAGGGGCTGCGGCGGCGGTGGCGGCATCAGGCTGCGGCGCAGCGCCGTTGCCGCCGCCGTTGCTCCCCGCGCTCCCGGAGTCGGCAGCCGGCGCGCCGTCAGCGGAGTCGAGAGGAGGCATTTGTGCGGAACCCGCGAACCAGAGGTTCTCCGCGAGCTTGAACACCTCCACGCGGTCGCTAGATCCGCGCAGCGGTGCGATCACCGTACATGTCGCCGCATACGCCGGCGTTAGCGGCTGCAGCAGCAGCAGCAGGAGGAGAAGTGTCGAGGCAAGGAAATAGTAGTGGTAGCGGCGAGGAGGGGAGGTCGCACGTGCCATCGCGGCCATTGCGGTGACAGCGGCAGTGCTATCTCAGACGCAACTACAATCACACCTCAGGGTCACTCAAGCTCAGCCAAAATTGGTGTTACTGTGACTGACTGGCTCAGTATGAATGAACTCGGTGATTCGCGATAACTTGTACAAGTAAAACTGACCGATAGTGAGCTCCCGACAGACATACCATCGTCGTCTCGTCTGGCCCCTGCTTCACGAGACGGCGATAATCCGTCTATCCGTCCGTCAGTGTCTGTCATTGTCCGTCTGTATGTCTGTCTGTGACAGAACACGTGCTCCAGCATTGCATCCCGCAGTTCGCAAACCACGGGAGCGACCTAGACCTGTAGAACACACGCACAAATATAACGGACCGAAAGGGCTGTTATTGACTTTGGAAATGCCATGTCAGCAACAGTAACGCTAGAATTCGTGGATTTGGCTCTCAGTGGCTAAAGTAACGCTCATTTCCACCTAAAGACCAAGTCCTGACTTTGCTTCTTTCCGTTTGTGTCATTTGTGGGGTGGAGCAGGTCCAAGAGAGATGAACAAGGCGCTGAGATGAGCAAAGGAACTTACATGATCGCCTAGTGTATTAAGACGCGTGTAGCTCGCGTGACGGCTGCGCGTCTTTCCACCCAGACTGGCACGGCGCAACTCCCTTGCGGCTAAGCCACTGCTCTTGGGAATGCCGCGCGGAAAGCAAGGGTTCGCAACCATTTTGCATATCTTTCTGGACCTGTGGCATTCCGGTACAAAGGCGCTTATCACATAATCACACCGTGTGTTGGAATTTCTGTAGCTCGCGTAAAGGTTGCGCGTCGTTCACCCCGGAGTTGTACAGTACAGTGGCGCAACTCTCTTACGGTGTGGTGCAGACGAGAAATTGAAGCGAGGCGGCTTTCCGTGACCATTTTGCAGATCTTTCTGCACCTGTGGCAGTCCGGCACTAGAGCGCTGTGAATGGCTGAGCGAACACCTAATCCCCGCCGGATTGGCCTGCCGAATTTCCTAACTGTAATTCAGCCCGTGAATTGATCTAGCAGCGAGTGCTGCGTGAGTTGTTGAGACAGATAGCGTGAGGGGAGGACTCTCCCAGAATTTTATACTGCCCTACACGTGTCGAGAGCACTTCCGAACCGACAAAGATGCTCTGCAGGTGAGTGAGTGGTTGCCGACGTGACGCGAGAAGCAAGAAGCTAGAACTAGAGCAAGTTAGAAAGGAGAAGCGAGTAGTGAGATGCGAGAAACAAAAAGGGAGGTTCGACACACGTGAAGGGAGAAATGAGAATGGAAGGGGAAACGACTTGAATGTGGTTGGAAGCCGCCAACGATTTCTAGTTGTGCTTCGCTTGGGACCCGAAAGGTGTGTGTTACGAGTGCAATTGAGCGAGCGAGCGAGAGGTGCACTATCGAAGCAAAACAGTCCATTGAGCTAAGGCATGGGCGAAGAATATATAGCAAAGCTAGAGTGGTAACGGTAATGTGTGAAAATGGGGTGCGCTACGGGCCTAGCGCCGAGGCTGGGAATTGTCAAGGCGGAGGTCCGGAGCGCGGGTTACCAACCTAACCATGAGTTTGGGTTGCGTCGTGAACAGTGGCGGGAACAGTAGTCAAGGCGAGTGCCGCGAGTGGTAACGGTCTACTGTTGGGAGTTGTTGGCAGGAACAGTGGTGTACGCGTTGAGCAGGGACGCTAAGTAAGGAAAAGGGGTTTTCCTTACACCCCCCCCCCCCACCCCCCTTAAGGAGGTCCTCCTTACGAAACCGCGTGTACATCCCGGAAATTTCGGCTGCGCATGTACTCGATGAGGACGGGGTGGTTCTCAACAGGGGCTTGGTTATCAGACCAATTTGGTCTGATGGTCTGAGTTTCAGACTTCGTTTCTTTGTTCAGCTGATCCTAGCGAGAGCCCTGGTTCTCAATTCTATCCAGGAAAACCCATTGTCTTCGGTGGTTGTGGGGCCTTTCCAACGTATCAGAAATTTGATTCTGCGAGCTCCTCGTGGGTCACGAACTCAGTCGCTCTGTATCTTTTTGGGCGTGATTATTGGTTGTGTCGAAGGTCGTGTCATGCTGGCGAGGCGGTTGCGAGGCAGTTGGCTAGTGGATGGGACGTATGGGCGGAGGAGGCTGACGTGGAATGATGGGCTGATGTACCAGTCAGCAGGGAGGAGGAGGTGGACGGTGACGGGGGTGATCATGATGGCCCACAATATCGGGGGCGGAGTTTCAGGGTAATGGGTAGGCGGAGGTTTTGGGTGTCGAGGAGTAAGAGGTCGTCGGATTGGTAAGTGATGGGGCGACGATGGCAGCCGGCATTGCGTTTAGCGATGACATTTGATTTCTTGATTGCGTCTGCTGCCCGGGTCCGTGCTGCCTGTAAAATTTCTGCAAACTGTTGCGCACGGGGCACGGGGTTGTCGGGATTTGGGGTCATAGGTACTGTGGGGTCTTGTCCGTAATTCAGGTAGAAAAGTGACTGTTGGGTCATGGCGGATGGCGAGTTGTTGTATGCTGTCAAAGAGAAAGGCCCCACCCTCGCTTGGGCGCAGCCGATCTCGCCGTCGACAGAACGTTTTCGACGGATTGGTCGAAGAAGTGGGATTCTGCAGTTCGTTGGAAGTTGCGGTCGAACAGGCTCTGCTCGACAGAATCTGGTCGACATCGTCGACGGGCAGCGCTAGTCGAAGGCAGCGGTCGAGGAGGCCCGTCGAGGAGTGATGGTCGAAGAGCCCCGTCCGAGGAGCTCTGGTCGAAGAGCTCTGGTCGAGGAGCTCTGGTCGAAGAGCTCCGTTCGCCGAACTCTGCGCGACGAGCTCCGGTCGACGAGCTCTGATCGGCGAAAGCTGTTCGACCGAGCGGGGTCGAGCTGTTCGACCGAAATTGCAGAGGTGTGCGAAACTCCGTGGAGGTATGCGAAACTTCGCCTAGGAGGTTTTGGCGAAGTTCGACATACGCAACGGCATCACGTGGTCGACGGTGCGCACCTGGCGAAACCGACGACACGTTTTCTACCTGGCACCTGCGCAATGTGCCTGACAGTGAAACCGTCAACCTGCACCTACTTGGTAGGTGCGCACATCTGTGCAAATAGACAACCTGTGACTGCAGATAGTCACCCGCGACTGTAGTGCTGGCAGGCCGCGCGTAGTGTAACGCTGGCAGACTACTCTGCTACAGCGTTGGCAAGCCGATCTTTTGCTGCGCTGGCAAGCCGCTCTTCTGCTGCGCTGGCAGATTTTGCCCTTGCTAGGGGTTGCATGCCATTCTAGTCATATCTTTCTACATGCTTCAATCGTACTCTAGTCCTTTCAATGTTCATTGTTCTTTCAACTTCATTAGTGGAAACTCCTGCAAAACTTCTCTGTGAACACAAGCAAGAAGTAAGCACACTAGCGCAAACCTACGATCACTCGCACAACCCCGTGCCCTCCTCCGTAGTCCACTCCCGTTGTGTAGTGACTCCGCATATGCAAATTCGATGAGTGGCATTTGCTGTTCCCACATGGTCGGGTCATCGCACGTGGCTCGGATTAGCTCCTCCATGGTCTGGTTTCTCCGTGCTTTCTAACCGTCAGTTTCGGTGTGGTACGATGAACTGAACTGGAGCCGCGTGCCGAACTGCTGCCACGGGTTCTGCCAGAAGTTGCTGGTAAATTTCGTGCCGCAGTCGGTGATGATTGCAGCTGGTATCCCGTGTAGTCAAACGACGGTGGCGATGAAGAGGCGGGCTGTTTCTTCGGCTGTGATTGGTTTTTTGCAGGCTGCGAAATGTGCCATCTTCGTCAGCCGATCAACGACGACCAGGATCGCATCATTCCCATTTGCCCGAGCTGGTAACCCCGTGACGAAGTCCATCATCACCTGGTGCCAAGCATGCTCTGGGGGTGGTATCAGTTGCAACTTTGATGCTGGGCCGCTTCCGGGATGATTTCATGAGTTGGCAGGTGGGACACGATCCCACGTGTCGTTGCACGTCAATCAGCATCTCGGGCCAGTAATAATACCGCTGCAGCTGCTGCCGTGTTTTTTTACTTCGAAATGGCCTGAGATAACCTCGTCGTGTGCCTCCTGTAGTAACACCTTCCTTAGTAAAGTGTAGCCAGGCACCCAGATGCGATCGATGCCGGCTTTTACGTAATAAACCCCCATTGCTGCTGCGAACTGCTGCGAGTTTCCTCCGGTGAAGAATGGGTCTGTTTGGTAGCTGTGGATAAATATTCATGTGAGCAGTGGGCTGGTCTGGGCGATTAGTATGGCATGGAATTGGGCAGTGGGGCGGGTCAGTGCGTCGGCGATGTTTGATGCCCCCTTTTTATGGGTGACTGCATAGTGAAAAATGGACTCGAGAAAATCGGGCCAACGAACATGTTGTGGGTTGAGGTGGGGCTATGCGCAG